AGGAGTATTTTAAATTTGTCACCAGATTGACCTTGCACGTGATTGGTTGAATGCGAGGAAGGTTCACACACAGGCAATTTTAATTTTGAATTTGAAGGTTAGGTTATTGACAATTCGACAGTTTCGTGTCATTATTGTAAATTTTGTGTTCTTAAACCCTTCTTTATTATATTTTGAAATAAATACACTCATAACTTCAATGTTAATTTGTATGTTTAGTGTTGACGATAACAAACGAAAATAAATACAATAATAAGTAAATAAATAAATAATAACAATTATTAATTTAAATTTACCGCCAAAATATCTAGTGATATTTTCTGGTGATTTTTCCTAGTGTAAATCTGACTTTCGCGTTTACTCCTCCTGGTTTAAAAACAGAGTATAGTAGCGCATGAATGTTTTACACTCGATGTTATTTTTGTCAAAATAAATAAATAAGTAGATGTTTATTACAAAATAAAGTTTAATTGTTTCTTTTGTGTCTAGCGCTACTTGATATTTGGACAAAAATAACATCGAGTGTAAAACATTCATGCGCTACTAGATTAAAATGTGTGCTTTTTGATGGGGAAAGAAATGAATTTTTAAGAAAAACAAAATACTATCGTATAAAGAATGTTTTTAGGACCTCAATAATAAAAAAAATTTTGGCATTCCATTTAAAAAAAAAAAAGTTGACAGTCGCCATTTTGAAATAATTCTTCCAATTGAAAATGTGGCATCACCATCGTGTACAGAATGACCCAAAACATATTACTGCCAAATATTTTGAAAGTAGTACCCATAGTGTGGCTAAAAAAAAATAAGGCGCTTACTCTGAATCAGGCTGTATAAAGTTAGATCTGGGAATATGGAAAAATGCGTCTCCTGAAATTCGTAAACCAACTTAACCCGCAACACCTTTCCTGGATGTTTTAGTCACTAGAAGACGCACAACTAAATCTGAAGTTCTAGTCTAGTGTTAGTTCTAGTTTTAGTTGTTATTTAGCGCTAGGTTGTTCTATATTTTGAACACTTCGAATTTTTTCCTGAAGGTTATAGTGCTAGTTTTAGTTCAATATAATGCATTAATTATAATAAAAGTAGCAATAATTATGTAAAACGTGTGTATATGTTGTAGCTAGAACGCATATGTGTGTCGCATATATCTCAGCTTATGCTGCAAATGGGTTAAGAAATAAAAACATTTATTATTTATATAAAGATTTATTGCTGGAGATATTTAACTTATAACGATGTACATTTTAAAATAGATAAAACAGCCACAAGCAAGTGGTATGCAAAAGTCACGTAGGCACGAACAGTAGACAGATGGCGTACTAGTTATGTGACCATTAACGTTGTCATGTTGCTCACAGCGGTTGCTTGCTTGAAAGCAGATTTAAATTTCTTTAAATTAATGAAAAAGAAGGTGTAAATACGGATTCAGTATGATTTAAAGTGTGTTATTGAGATACTTCAGTAATTATGTGCATGTTAGTGAGAAAATCTTAATCTGATAAAGGTACTACAACTCAGCAGGGAGTATACATAGATGCGAAGTGCCGGAAAGTTTAATTTTCCAGAAAGCTTTCTATCACTTTCCGGTGATTACTATCTTAATACAATTTGTTGCAACGAATTCAAATTAAACAAAGTTAGAATTATGGCGTAATTACTATACGAAACAACTATATCACGTTATATATATATAATTTTAAATATTTTTTACGCGACGAGTTGAGGTCGGAGCATTGCGGGAGCTAGTTTGGTTTAATTTTTCCTGTTAGTTTAGTTTCAGCGGCTCACAATGCGAATATGCAATTAAATAGCTCGAAAGGAGGTCATAAATCAAGAACAATGTGTGAGTGATGGAGTATAAGCTAGTCGTAGATTTTATTGCTTTCATAACAGTTTTGAGATGAATGAAGTCGTATAACCGTACAAAACCATTTCTAGACATGTAAATCCATCATGTGAAGATTGATTTTTTCGTTATTCAAAATGAAAATTATCGTTTTATACGCATAGTCAAAAAATATTTAACATAACTTACAAAGTTTGGGTTGAGTTGTGTAAAGCATTGATGTTATAAATCCAGCCTTAATTGTTGGGGTTCAAATACCATAAATATGCAATAAAATTAATTAACAGTGGTGAAATGCGCAATTATCTCCGCATTTCTAGAGCAAAAATCTTGGAAACGGAATCTCGGCTTAATCTCACGGAGTAAAATTTCAAAGTTAAGATTTTGACCGCAACTCAAAATAATTTCCAATCATCTTTTCAGTCGCTTCCTCCCAAGATAATCAATCTTCTTTAACGAAAATTTCAATATTTGTGAAGGTTTAAAATTAAATTTAGTTCTCTCAAACCTTCCTTCACAATCTTTTGGACTTATTTAAAGTTATAACATTCTATATCAAAAGTTAAAGTTCACCTTCATGAAAATCTTCGTTGTTTTTAAAATCCCGTTTTCTACTAAATCAACGGACCAATTACAAGAATTATTTATTATTTTCTTTTTATAAGAAAACCCATAATTAAACGAAAGAAAATATAGTACGCCTTTTAAACGAAATGTGCATTTAAAACGAAGAAACGTCAGGGCAGGTTCTAATTAATATTTATGGTCTCGTTTTTCACGGGAACCACTCCGGGCAGCGACGTGGCGGCGAAACGGCTGCCGTTGTTTTTAATTAATTAATATTTAATTGCGTCTCCAACGTCGCGAAAGCAATTACGCCCACGTAGATAAGGCGGTTAAATCGCGGCTCGTAAAATAAGTTTCCAACGCCGGTAGAAGCTTTTTGCCACCACGACCGTGTTCGCACTCCTTTTCGCGAACGACCCCAACCTTAATCAAACTAGAACTTTGTAGCGTTTATGTTACAGAGACACATCTAAGGTTGCAAAATGCTGACGCGTACACAAACTTTTCAGCGAAAATGTTGCGGTTTCTCTCTCCTTTAGTATAATTGTGCTATAAAGTGATATAGATCCAATTAATTGGTGAAGTAAATAGAGTAAAAATAGACTAAATCGGATATAAACGTTTCATTCAAGCATCATAATTTGTAATGAAAAGAAATTTTCATCTCAATATAAATGGAACGCGAGAAAATCAATAGGAAAAATAAGGTCCTCTTGAATTCAGTTGAAAACTTGGGAGCTTAATATATACTCTTGGAGTAAAATGATAAAATAAAACACCAAAGAAAGTAAAAACCCATCGTATTTCAAGGATGAATTGAAACTCGGAAATAAAATACGTTAGAAAACGGACGAAATGTGATATCGGGTAAAGAAATTCGATTTCTTTATTTCGCTAAATTGATACAAGATATTATTTGCATATTAATTAAATATTAACAAGTAATTTCCAATAAATTGGTTCTGATACAATAATGCGTTAAAGAAAAGACGGAATTTATAAGTAATCCCTCCGTACCATTCCGCAGCACGATCGGAATTTAAATATTAACTCGCAGCATGGCTTCCGATCTTTTTTTGCTTGTGCCAGACTTGACTGTCTGAAAATTTAACTTACCCCCGAGGCTTCGTTCAATTGAAATATCTAGCGAAGTAAAGGAAGATGAATCGTTACAAAAAACATCCAAACAAAACCGCTATGCATTATTTATTAATTTCTGATACGACTAATCCGATTACGATGGAAGGAATTGCGAAAACTGTCTGCTCTTTGTAGTTAGTTTTCTTTACACTCAATTTTCTTAGAAAAGCGTCGGCAAAGCAATGGATTTAATTCGCCTTTCGGAGTTCAGCCACTAATTTTCGTATTCTTTGTAACTTTTTTTCTTTTAGTTAAGTTCTTACTATATAAAGAACGTTATGTTAAACTTATTTCTTTTCTTATAAGAATTAATTATTCTAACAAAAATAAAAAACGAAATGTAATAAATTTTCCTAAAAAAATACTTAAAGTTTAATTAAAAATGTCGTTACAAAGATTCTCCAAATTCTTTCCCCCAGTCGAAAGAAGCAACTAATCATGTTTTAATTGTTACAGAGAATGGGTAGTGTGAGAGGAGAAGACATTCCGTATATTTTAGGATTGCCTTTGGTTGGAGGAGGGCCATTCTTTCCACACAATTACTCACACCAAGATTCGGTCATCTCCAAAACAGTCATACATTACATCAGTAATTTTGCGAAAGGAGGGTAAGTTTCGCAAATAAATTTGATATTTTTAATCATCCTTTATTTTTTTTCTGTTCTACTTTTAAAAACATAACGATTTAAGTTTAAAATCCCTTAGAATAGTAGTTTACCATGCCGATTAATTTTAATCGTTTCTTGTTGTAGACATTGTCAGATGTCAACTAACAAGTAAGACTCTATTTCACTTAATAAAAGTTTTTATTTAAACATTTTCATGTAGACATTAGAAATTTTTTGAAATCAATTTTTTGATATAGTTATACGTTAATTAATACCTTTGTAAATAAGTTTGTTGGTTCGAGTAAAATCTAACAGTAAAGTCAGCTTGATGTCTTTCCACTCTGATGGGGTTGGATGTGATAAAACACGAAGGGCGTTACCTTCCCGAAATTTAATTACTTGGGATTGGCAAGAAGGGTGAAGGGTGCTTCGATGGTTGGGTTGTTCCCTAAAACCGATCGAATCAATTATAAGCCGTCGACGTCCGACCGCCGCATTGCTGTCCCCCTCAACCCTGGCAATTAAGCTGATACAAGGAAGTCGACGGTGGTGGTTTTATCTCTTCTCGGTTTGTAAGCTCGTCTTCAACCTCAATGTCCCCAGATAATGTTATAGATAGGCAAAGATGTCGGTGACAGAACTGGGTCGAATATAGATCGCTAAACTTCCGAATGAGATATTGGATTAGGTCAAAACTAGGGGTTAAACTGTTGTCGAAATACATCAATTCAAAATTGAGTGGTAAACGGCTTACTAATTTCAACAGACACTTGTTTATTACATACATATTTATTTTATAATCATCATCTAATATGTACGTCTAATATATAGCAAGTGGATTCCTATGAAAATTAATATTTGAAGAACACGTTCTACTACCGCAAAGGGATGCGCCCATTACTGCACCGTACACCAAAGTAAGCCACAGTAAACCAGGTAGTAATAGGATGAGAATTAAAAATCTCCAATTCCATAACTTGGTACCTATGGATTTATATTGTTTCAATCCTTCCACTTCTTTCATAAATCGGTCATCGATTGTATTTATTTGACACCTCACCAAACTAACTACCGGGCATTTTCGATGCAATATATCTCCCATATCTTCAAAAAACCCTCCACGAGTAGGAGTGTGTATAAAATCTCTTGCGGTCATATTAGATATTTTCATTTTAAATGTCTAATTAATTCCCTGTCATCTATCGTTCCCCTAGTAATAGTAATAGAAGTAACAATCAAGGCAAAAATGTTTACAAGAAAAAATTTTTTGTAAACCATTTATTTGCTTATATAATATCTTGAAAGACACACGCTTAAACCCTAATGTTTCTAGTGCTAGGTCTAATATTAATTCTAGTGATACTGCAAATGTTAACACATATATAGAGTTATATTTATAAAAAGTCCTCAGATAACGTTTTGAAGTAAGCTGTGGAAATAGTGCGTAATTGGTTGCCTATACACCGGAATAGTTATTAAAAAGAATATAATATGTATATGTTACTGTAAAAGCCCGAACTACAGCAAATCTTAGGTTTAAATAGTAAATCTTAAGATTTACCAACAAGAATTGGTAAATGTGAGGATTTTTTAAACAAGAGATCTTTCTGGCTTTTACCAATAGAATTCCTTTTCACGTTCTTTGCGGTTTTTACTTTCGGCGGACTTTTACCATTCAGAGTTGGTAAATGTTAGGTTTCACTGGAAAATCTTAGGATTTACTGTTTTGGGCTTTTACAGTAACATATAAAATTTCTTAATTTTGAAACATTTTGGTTCTACTAAAATAAGTGATATACTAGAAAAATTAGTCAGTAATTAGTTAAGTGGTGCTTCTCAGCACCATACTTTATCGACAAGGGATTCCAACATATATAACGATATAAATATGCCATGAAATATTTAAACTTATGATTCCTCCTTTAGAGTTTAAGGGAATATTTTACATTAAAGCCTTACATCATAAAATATTAACGGGCTACTATATAAGCACTCACTCAGTGCCAGAATAACCGTAATATAATCGCGTAAAGCTTGCAGCATTCACGCGATAGTAACACTAATCTACACACTATTTCGCGCGTATTATATGGTTTAACGTAAAGCGACAAAATTACATAGATAATGCCCGGGGATATGAATATAGCGTGGTCGTCAACGGCGCAAATACTCTTCCAACATGTTATCACATTAAAGACTACTATAATAATAGGTCTGTCTAATGTTACTCAGATGATTAATGAAGTAATAGCATAAACTGAATTTGTATGGTAATGTTATTGTAAACAAGACGCTTTGTAGACAATTTGAGCAATAATCCGTATGATTTTAATTATAGATGTAATAGAGCGTAATGTTTCCAAACATGCACAATAAAGTTCGTATAGCAATTAAACTTTATCACTACGGATTAAGTTATGCACAAAGTTAATTTAAGTCGTTTTTATGTTATAAAGTTACGATGAGTAAAAATAAAAATAATATAAAATAAAAATAAACATGCTACAATGGATACATCAATTATTAGATGACAACCGTAAAAGATGCCATTTATGGCGTGAAGCTAAAATCTCAAAACACTTTCAAGTTTATAGGTGCACTAAATCCAAACTGCTCGAAGAAATGGGACGCGAACCATCCATAACGCAAATGGGATATTACATGGCCGAGCATCGCGCATTTACAACGAGTTTCAGCGAATCCCTATATTTATATTAGTGGATCTCGGAAAACTGGGACGCGACGCGATGGCGGGATTCCCGTATACGAGGATCTTAAATTTTCCACTAAACGCGCGTTTCCCGAATATTTCAACCGTTTCAATTCTTGGTTACTGAGAACACAAGGAAAATTTCAATGTGGTCGTAAGAAATTTTCACTTTCTCTCTTCCCGCTTTTCTCGCAATTTCTAAAACTCTTATTCTTTTTTTGAATTTGATTAAGTAGTTTTATTGATTAGCTAGTTTTAATTCATTTATACCGTACTGATAGGTAAAAATAAAAAGGGCTACAAACGATATTAGGGCTTAATTGAAGTTAATCTGAGACATCAAAGAGGAATTCTGTAGCCTTTGGCCATCCGGCGAACAGAGAAGGTGGGCGGAAAGGGCAAATTGAGTCACAGAGAGACGGCGGCGGCAGTCGCAGACGAAAGCAGTCTCGGCGCCGCATTAAAATTTCTAATTGCGAATTTTCCCCGATCTAATTACGGGAGAAAATTCCAATTTAAATTTTCCTGCGGTGGTCCAACACTCCTTCTCGTCCCAAGTTTCTTATCGTCTAACTTCACCCGGAACTGACATACCTTCCTAGAAAGAAAAAAAATAAACACATCTTTAACAATTTCAAAGATTGTCTGTAGTTAGCTAATTGGATTTTGGTGATTTTAATTTTAAGGAACTGCGACGAAGACAAATATTGTGGAAGGTTAATTTTGTATTAAATTGTTCTTTTATAACGGTTCCCCTAAGATTAAAACATTGCCCAATTTCCCTTCAGTTTACCACCCACGTTTAACAACACACCCTTCCTTGAGTTACGGGGTTGTGTGTTTTTTTAGGGACGCGTAAAATATGATTCACTTTACGGTCTGCAAAGCGTATGATAAAAAGGACGAGAGAGGTTGGACGGGGAGATGCAAGAGATGCTCTGCCAACCTGGGAAGACTCGTAAAATATTCTGTAGCACCCCTACTTTCAAACATATACCGTCCTGTCGGAGCTTTTTTTATAGCAGTCCGGGCATTTATTTAGGACACGGGCGGTTTCCCTGACCCCGTTTTAAAGCCTTTTTGGAAATGTGCCCTCCAAGATAAAAGAGTTGTAATTTAACCTTGTCTATATGGTGTTCACAAACTTAAATAAAATTTCGTTTAATCTAATCTAAAGATTAGATCAGTATTGATCGGATATCCCAAATTAATCCTGAAATTAGTTTGGTGTATTCAACTTTCGTTAAGGGTCGTTGAAGTTTTGGACAAACTCCAAAAGTCTTCACATACAAAGTTTATTAACTTTTGCAATAAAGCTTGCGCTTTTAGCCAGGGACAAAGTATCGTGGTGTCTTAATAAATAACTTAGAACAATGTGGCGAGCATGTGGCCGGAACTCTCCGAAGCGGAGGTGAACCGGTGGCAGCGACATTGGAGATATGTGGATACATAAACCCTTGTATCTAGCTATGGTATCTGGCATAAACAGACTCCGCGGAAATTGAACTGTCCCAGGGATCTCTGATACGGTAACGCGAATAGCGGGGCGAGACCGTAACTTCCGACCCACAATGCGAAATCTTTTATGGGATGTCGTCTCGGGTCTAAACTACTAGGCCAGATCAGCATCATTCCGATACACTAAAGTGAATACACTTCAGGTAAATGTATGTTAAGCCGTACCCAAGTCGTAACAGGTTGCCCATTTCGATGCTTTTAAGTTCACATCCACTCCGGTTGTGCATATTATCGTGAAGACATCTTATAACGAAAAATTTTACGATCAATCTGTTAAGAAAAGTTGTCTTAGGTAAAAACCTCGCAAAGTCAAGAAACCTTTTATAGTGTAATCAAGTTTCAAATTTAACGGGCTACCACAGGCCAAACTTATCCAAAGATATTTCATAACGTACCCGCCGCTACCAAATTTGCCCACCAACCATCGACCCACGAAATTAAATTTCTACCGCTATCTACCGCTCTACCCCCTTAACGCAACTTTATTACTATAAATACTTCAATGTTTTTGGGATCTTAGAAACTTAGAGTTGTTCGAAACTTTTAATATTTTACTTTGTAATTCTAACAAACGAGCATTCTTTAAAAAAATTTAAAAAAAAGCAATTTGTTTGCTAACCTGGTTCTGAAAAATGTCTGAAATATTCAACTGATAGTTATTAGATGTATCTTAAAATTAATTATTATCTTTTAATCTATATGTACGTCTAACGGTCGAATGCTCTTAATTTACACGCTGAACATGTAGCATAAAGCTGAAGTGCTTCATGAACTGTGACGTGTTTGTACTTGTTAGTACGGATGTGCGGCTAATCCAATTAACTAAAAGCGTGGCATCCAACTACATTGATCATAAAAGGATGGAAGCCGGGCAAACACCAGTCATTCCAACGGGTTTGTTGTGAAATCAGCTAACAATGCTTACAATTCTAACGGCTTAAGGAAAACTAATATAGCAGGCAAATACACGTTCCAACTAACAGTTGCGTTACAAATGTTTAACTATAATAAGGGACGCAAAAATAATTAATTTATACAAATTGTATCAAAAAAATCGGAGTAAATCTAATTTTAAAATTATTAACGATCTAAATGCATTTAAAAATGGTTTTCCGAAATTGCTTTTTCATTCATTTTATGATGGCAAATTTTATGTTCTTTTCCAATATTCTTTGTATCGTTAAATGCAAATTGTGAAGCTAAATATTTATTTATTTCGAATTGTTTCAACGCATTCCATTTTATGATATGAAATTCTTTCAAATTCGAATAATTTAATTTCCGTTGAAATCAAAATGCAATGAAATCAAACTTTATTTCTTCTCGGATCTAAAACATAATATATGTGCTAATATAAATATAAGTAATACATTTGTATGGTTCTTACAGATAATTTTTAATGGTAGTTAATTTCTTTATCTTCTTCGTAGGGATCCCAATGGAGAAGTTAAGAATGCCGTGAACGTCGACATGAAGAACCAGCAAAGGAGTCACGAAGACATGAATCTGCCCTTTTGGGATACCTACGACACTATCAATCAGCTTTACTTGGAACTAGGTGAGCAAATTGTTCTTTTACGATCACTAAATCTACCCGAGAAAACTTCTGAAACTTGTGTTGAATTAGATTGAATTAAGGATGAGAACCTGAAAATGTTTTGCTTCTAAAAACGATAGATTTCCGCAACATTAATAAGATGAAATAAATCTAATGTGAATCCGATTCATTCAATGTTTTCGATAAAAGTGCATCAAAAAAACACGAAGGAAAGAGTTAAAAGCTAAACGGTTAATCTTGACGTCAACATTCGCTAGCAATTTAAATAATTAGAGTTTCGTCGGCTTTGCTTTCTTTTAATTAAGTCGAACTTGAACGATCGACTAATGCAACGCGCTTCGTCGTTGATTGCGGCGCTAAATCCGAAGTGAACTAATTAAATAGATTTATGCGGGCCGTTGTGTGCCTGCGAGGGCTTCAGTTCGTCCTCCCACGAAACGCTCGTGGGGTTTTATTATAGTAGAAGTGGAAATATGGAGCGGTTTTCGTGCGATGCAATTAAAATCTCGAGATGAGCGACGCGGACGCAGCATTAATAGTTCCCACCGGCAACATTGGAAATTAAATTTAAATTTTATTTCGAAAAGAGAAACTAGAAAGGGGTCCTTCCAATTATCACTCTATAATGATGATGATGAACTGTTTGCTTGCAATCGACAAAAAGGTAGTAGGGCAATTATTACGTTTAAATAGGTAAGATAATGAGCGGTCTTTTAAATAAAATATAACAGGCGTCGGTCGTTTAAGGAACGATGATAAACTAACAACGGATTTTCTCGGCGCATAAAAGTCGTCCAATTAAAGTGAGCACAATTTGGCTACCAAGGGATCTAATAAAAAAAAAGCCGCCTGTTTTCAGTACCCGCCGCGTACAAGTCGGACCGGAAATTGTTCCCTGAAAGCCAGAATTTTTAATAACGTCCCGGTCGCACTTTAATTAACATTAGCGAGGGAGAAATTTAAAGCGACAACTAGTTCGAATTTATTTGGTGTACTGGATTTCAACTAATCGTCGAGTGCATTTATAAAAAAATTGTTATGAAAATCAATATTTTCTCAAAATGGTTTACACAACGTTTTAAAAGTTTAATAAATATTTCTTGTATGTCTATTTTTCATCCCGTTTGAACGTTAATCCAAGTTTTTAGTAGAACTGGTTGTATACTTTATCAATTGGGCAACCTAGTTATCTCATTATTTCATGGGCAACAGAATCTAAACAGAATACTTAATGCTTTCCGATTGCTTTCATATTTTGTTAGATTTTCCTAAATTTGTAAAAACTTCTCTTTATACAATTAACCTTCAACTATAGTAAATAAACACGTGAGGTATTTTAATTAATTTATAATTTTGTTGACAGAGTTATAACAGATTTGCATACACATTGCAAATATTAGCCATTCGACTATATCGTAAATTAATTTCTGACAGCAGTAGTTATTACATTACACGTGGTGTGTGTTCGTGCAGTAACAAAAATATCCTCTTTAGTATTGGAAAACCCTGAAGGTGTGTGATGAATAGTCTTTGTTCTCAACGATGATCATTTTCGTCAACTTCCTTCTTCTTCGACTTCGTCCCCTTATGAAATGCCGACGTGGCATGTTCGGCAATGCGGGCATGTTCTTCGAATCTCGTCAATTAAAGAGGCCGTGACGGCGTCACTCTATTAAATTAATGGTTTGGTGCGGAAACATTTTCCGAAACACGGCCCATCCATAGCTTTCCCTGGCTTCCTACGCGATATCCTCCGGGTAATATATGGTTGTATCCTAAAGTCCTCATTGTTTATTCACGCATGGACTTTGTTTCCTTTTGTGAGTGGCTTTAGCAAACTAAACACGTTGAATATATGGAACATATTTCTAGTGTAATAGATAAATAGAATGTTGTAATAAAGATATTAATATATATATTTTTTTATTTTTACTATAGGTAATAAGCCTGAGATTCGAAATCACTACAGGGGGCATAAGATGTCGCTTTGGTTAAATCTCATACCTCAATTACATCGACCAGGTGATACGGACGATGTCTCTATGAGACACCATCACTTTCAAGAGGAGGGTGATCAATATTACGATGGTAATGTTTGTTGTTAAATTTAAAATGATTGGTGTATTGATTGTTGTTATTATTTTAGGTTCTGTACGACCACAAACGATGCAAAAGCCTTCATTAATACACGTTATCATACCACCACCAACTACAACTACGATTAAAGCTCCAACAGAAACAACTCCTCCACCTCCAAAATCGGATACAGCTGTCCAAGCTACAACCACGGAGTGTCCCCCAAATAATAGTTTAGTATCACCATCAACAAAAAATGTGAATAATAACAATCTCCTTAGAAAATTGGCTTCGAGTCATTATCAAAGTTACACGACGGCTTTAACAGTAACGATAGCGGTTGGATGTTTTCTTTTGTTATTAAACGTGTTAATTTTCGCTGGAATATACCATCAAAGAGATAAAGGTAGACAGAAAAGGAAAAAGAAAAAGGAGGAATTAGCTGAAGCGGGTAGTTGTAGTTCTTCTTCGGGAGAAGTTTACGAAACGAAGTCTGTGTACGAATCTCGACAAGGTTACGATCATTGTAAAAGCGCTTACGAATTGAAAAGAGGCAGTAATTTTGAGTGCAAGTCAGTGCCTAACTTCATAGGAGAGTACAGTTGCGAAAAAAGATCTTTGGCTGATGTTCAAATGACCGAATTACCTCTGCAAGAATTTCAGTGTTCGCCCACGCAATTGAAAAGAATCGATCCGCCCAGTTACCCACCCGATTTGACTAAAAACGATAACGGACAAATGACAAGTCCCAGCATACCGGATCCTCCACCACCACCAAAAAATCAACCCCCCGTGTGTAACCAAACGGGAATTTTAAGACATAGCGTTCCAACTACACCAAGCATAAAAAAACGTGTCCAAATACAAGAAATATCCGTTTGATTCAGTGTCTAAGACGATAATGTGAACTGATATAACACTTTTTATCATCATATCTGATTGTAATTGAAGAACAAAAAAAGGTGTTTTTATTTTTAATTTTTTTCAACCACGCTGTGATTTTTTGTTAGAAGGAATTGTGCAAACTGTTTTAATGATATGCAAAGGATTTGTTGATTATTAATGTTTTGTTTCGTAATATGACAATACTGTTCTTGGTGTTAAATGATACTCTTACTCATACATTAATTAAATTAAATCGAAAGAATTTGTATTGACATCATAAAGAAGGAATTGTGTCATTTTTTAGAAGAAACAAATATCAAAAATGAATAAAATTAAAAAAATAACACACGGCGAAAATGATATCGGTAGATCTGATATTAATAATTTAAGAAAAGGTATGGATTTGAAATCAAAAATGAAATAAAAGTGAGTATACTAATGTTAGAAAATCTTTTATTGAAAAAAGATTATCCAACATATAAAAATAATTCCAAAATACGCTAAAATCTGTACAATTTTTTATAATAAACATTACAGGAATAAATATAACAGATACAATCATATCCCATTTTTAATTTAATGCTATAAGTTTTCATTTAGAAATAACCAATAACCAAAATAGGAATTGATACGAAAACGCTACACAAAAATTGGAAACTGTGAACTAAAAGTTTGTTATGAATCAAAATAAAAAAACAAAGAGTAGGAATTAAATACGATTGTGCGGCAACAATTTCGCAGACAATCAATTTATGTTGACCAATTATTTAGTTCTCATTACAAGGTCTATGTCAAAAGAAAACGACTCGCTAGGGTTTTATGGCCTAAACAATCGTATTATTAAAAGAAATGGAATAAACATGAATTGAATTGAGTGCCAGTAATGAACGGATTTAATCAAAAAAGAAAAAAAATTAAATAATCGATTTGACGTGAAATAAATTTTAAACGGGATTTTTAACCGATTTACTGTACATTTGTCATTGTAAATATGCGACGTTTTCTTTCTTATGCAAATCAAGAAAAATACTGCCAAAAGGATTCTTTTGATTACAATCTAGGAGGAAGTTGGAAAAGATATTGAATGAGACCTGTCGAAGCAAATTTAGAAATTTAGGACAGTTCGCATATTTACATCTAATCTCGGTACAAAGACCGCAAACTAACATAAAATAGTACTCAAATGGAAACCAGGAAATATATGGATACGGTATGTGTATTTGAAAAAGTAACTGTTTAAATAATTTTATATCATTAAAATGACGTACACTTAATTGTATAAATAAATTTAAAAAAACTAACAAACTACATCCTTTATCGATGTGCGAGAATGATCTGTTTTTGTCAAGGTTAAATAAAAGAATTGTTAAATTGGTAAAAGATGGTCCGAATGTTGTTTCTGTATAACTATTTCTGTTTGTGTATTCCTTTTTTCAATAAAAAAAATGTTGAAATATCTTATTGTTTATATATCATCTGATTCGATTAATTTTTTAACAATATATACGTGAAAGTGGAAGAAAATGAACAAGCTTTTTAAATTTCAACAAACATTTTTAAATAAGAAATTATATCATTAGGTACTATTGTTTGTAAATTACGTTATCCAAATGGAGGATTTTTCTTAACCATTTTATTGAGACAACCGTGCATAAAGTGACATCTTTTTAAGAGTTGATAACCTAACTCTGCGCCTGTACACAGCCTCTTATGACAATGATTCGTGATATTCTCTCAATCTTTAAATTATACCGGGAATTTCATATAACTAGTAATATATGAGTGCAGTAACCATAGTTACGAAACTACTATACACTTGCACTGTCCCACATAAAATGCAACATAACTTAATAGTACAGGCATTGAGTAGTTTTGCAAAGGAAAAGTTTTGCTTGGACAAGGTGACGTCCTTATGATAACTCTGAGTTTCCGTCTTAAGCGAATCACTACTAAAGCCGTATGTTTGTAGTTCTAGATCTAGTGTTAGTTCTAGTTTTACACTAGCACTGTTACTATGTAGAACTAACGCTATACCTACAACTAGAATCATTTGTGTTTAGCCGTTTTTAGAGACGTGCGGCTAAACCCAAATGATTCTAGTTCTAGGTATAGTGTTAGTTGTAGTTTTACACTTGCACTGTTACTGGAACTAATATTAGACCTAGAACTAGAAACATTTGGGTTTAGCCGTACGTCTCTTAAGACGGCTAAACCCAAATGATTCTAATTCTTGGTCTAGCACTAACTAACACTAGACCTAGAACTAGAAAGTTACAGTTTTAGCCGTGCGTCTGAAGAAATATACGACACGTTGCATTTCATGTGGAACAAAGTAAGTATATTACATCTTAAGTGAAATTCACTGCATATCTTTTAGCACCAGAAATGTTTCTAAGACTAAATGAACAATAATTATGACAAATAATTTTATCACATGTAATCATTAATACCTTTTTATTTCTACCCATAACGTATTCTTATAAATTGACCTCCACCTCACATTATAAATATTTGTTAATTTATTAAAACTACAAACATTTACTGTTGCCATAAAAGTTATTTTGATTGTCAGTTAACGTTTAGCGTTCCACATATTCAACTAACACGCTATCTTAAATTTTAGAAAAATTTCTTTGTTAGTTAACTCCACCTCGCGTGTTACACTTTGCAGCAAAGGTCGAGGTAATCGCATCCAAACATTTTGATTCCATTTTCTAACGTTAATGAATGGCATAGTTAAATGCGAGACGAGATTTTTTCATTGGTAGTTTCCTTTAAACTAGACTGAATAAATAACGGGCGAATACGAATTGCGCTAAATTGGTGAAAATCCCACGGATCATTCGCATGTTAGATGAAGATTGGCGTGTGGGTGCCAATGTCAGAGACGACAATCGTTTTGCTCCAATGATAGCTTCCTTTATTTAAATGTTAAGTTGTAAATGCTTTTAAGTAGAAAAGAATTGTAAATGTAATATATAGAGATTGCGTAATTAGAAAAGTAATAACCTTAAGACGTGTCTTCCATTTCAACGAAGTTGTGAAATTTTATGTAAAATTATTCTGAAATCATTGAAATGACATGAATTTAAAATATTTGTTGAGGGAGATTCTGAATTGTCCACAATTTAAAATTGTTTTTGGTACAAGTATATAAAATGATTTTGAATTGCATGCAATTGCTTAAAAGAGGTTTGAACAATCTCAATGTCCTCCGACGAGCGGCTTGATTCCAACGTCGAAATAATCGCATTAAGGGGACCATTTTATTAATTATAACCTTCGCGTAATGGCGTAGGGCGACACAAGAGTGTCGGTTTTCCGCCTGCGGCAGTTCTATTTACGCAATTGAAAGTGGCCGGTCGGTTTACATTGGAAAGCGAAACGTTTCATGTGACCCGTTTGTTTGTCGTTTTGGGGGCGGAACAGAAATCCGGATAAAGAAGAGACAATTTACGTCCTCGACATGGAAAGCAGACGTTTATCGTATAGACCCAATCTGATTTATCTAACCGTTCCCGATGAAGGTAAAATTTACCAACGGAACGAATGCATGGAACGTTTTAATCAAAGATTTCTTTTGCTTTAAACTTTTCTTTTTTGCTTAATTCAACTTTTATTTGTATTAAGTAGTATTAGTACTCATTTTTATTTCAGATATGTATATATGTTATATATTACGAAATTTTCCACCCCAATATATTCGATAGAGTTTGTTGACTAAACAATGGCGCGTGACTCATTAACTTTGGTTATGCCGCATCACGAGCTACTGGATCCTGAGACCCTGGCACTTTGCCTAATAAATCTAGATCACGTGCTCCTTAATTGAGTTGTACATATGTCAATGGATCATTCAATAAGAATGTATCCCCGATTCCGTCACATGATTGTGAGAACTCATAAAACCAATCTTCAAGGGAACCAACTCACTTACAACCAATTAGAATCTTAATCGCCAAAAATAACGCTTTATTAATGTTGGTTAAAGCTAGTTTATTAAATTTCTTGAGTAAGTTCCTTCAAGGGAACTTAATACAGTACATATCATAATATTATTCTTAAAAACACAGCCGATATGGTTTTTGAAAATTTAATTAACGATGTGGAATAAGTTGAGTAAAAGATCTTAAGAAATATCGAAGCGTAACAAATTACAAAGTATTTGTTTTTAAGTTACATAATTTAATGGGTACATACATGTCTGGAACATAAGGATGGTAGCGCTAAAAGTGCGCTAACAAAAACCACGAGACCATATCCGTCGTGTTCATCTTATTAGTATTAATTAACGTTCGAGTAAAAACAAATAATTTCTACGTCAGTTTTGTATGAAAATTCATTATAAATAATGCCTTTGAACCTAGGAAACTCGCTTATTACCGATGTATTGGTTGAATACTTCATATTTATTTTCTAAAAGAATTAGCACACAATTTGTTGTCATTTTAAACATTTTATTAATAACAATTGTCTCAATTTCTTACAACTACTCGCAAATTACAAGACATACATTTTACGAATAAGTAAACGAGAATGTTCGATAATTTCTAACATAATCATTACAATAGCGTCGCTAACAAACACTGTGTACTTCGATTGTGTGAAATTTTAGCAATGTTATTTGATCATATTGAAACACATAAAAAATTTATTGGTTTCGAAGAAGTAATCGAAAAAATGCGTGGTTGGATCAGTTGGATGAGTTAATCAATATTCACTTTATGATGTCATGTCGAATGGTCATACCTAAATTTTCTTGCTAAAAATAAACAAAACCGTAAAATATAACTGTTCGTTCATTAGTTTATTGTTAATTAAACTAATAAAGTTCGCTAAAATCAAAATAAATAATTAAGTATTAAGCGAAATTTAAAGAAATTTTCCCCAATGGCAGACGTTACCAAATATGTTTGATAAAAAGGTTCGTTTCTTGAACAATTACACATGCTGATAATAAAGATATATTGCAAAATTTAAGTTGTAATGAATAAGTTACATTTCATAAGATTTTTTTTAACATTAATCATCAAAAATTAGTTCACACTTTTAAAATGAAATTATAGATTTCAAAAATTCATAACTCCGAAATTTGAAGACTAGAAGAAATGATATTCAATACCATAAAGTCCAGTTAAATTCGCTTTAAATTGCTTCATGTTTCATGGTAATATCTCAATTAGTTATTGAGATACGATTTTTTAAAGACTGATAGGTTTATCTTAACATCTTTGATTAATCATACAGAGCTAAGTTCAAAAAATCATAACTCAAAAATTTGATGATTTGAAGAAATAGTCTTCAAAACATTAAATGCTATGCAAATTAGCTTTAAATTGTTTTTTACTTCATGGTGATATCTCAACTAGTTCTTGAGATACGAATTTTTTAACTTTCATTAATCCATACATTGTTTAAATTCAAATTATTCTGCAATTAAATAAACAATAACGACTACTGCATTAATTACAATGATACTTCAAAAGTGAATGATACTTCACCGATATGAAACTAATTTCTTATTGTTTACGTCTATAATTGATTAAATTTAATTAATAAATTTTAAAAATTAATCGGGATGATTTTAGTGATAACCTAAAAGCGCAATAGCTCGTATATCCTGCTATATAAGTGGCTCGCTATTCATGTTTTAAAGTTCAGTGCTCATCGATACTTGATCTTGATCAAATACTAAACGGTAGTCAGTAGTCGAGCCGATTGTTAATCAACAAGTTGTGTCTGCGCTGCCTTTATAACTGCTGTTGTAGAGTGTGTTAAAATTATTTTTCATTAATGAAAGTGTTTAAAACTTTTTAATAGTGATTTAATTGTGAATTAATCAGATATAATGATATAATTAATTAAATAAACAGGCAAGTTATTATTAATATTTTTTATAGTGTTTATTTAAAAATACTCATAAAAACACAGTTAGCTAATGATTTATACATTATATAATGTAACAATGGTAATTGTAAACTAATTATTTCGTTTTGGTCTGTTGATTTGTTTTATTGATCTGTTCTGAGAGATTCTTTTCAACTCGAAAGATATTTTTTTATGAACTTTTAATGGTGGTAATGCTCCCTCCGTTATCCGCAGGAACTTAAACAGGAAATTTGTATGCGAAATATAATACTTTGCCGGATGTTTAAAACGTTTGACGAAAGTCCTTACTGTAAAAAATTCACTACAATTCCTTATTAGCATAACCATTGAATGACAAATTAAATACCTAATAATATAAATGAGTAACAAAGTTAACTATGCAGATTAAAAGAACCTCCAAGAACTGGAAATATCAGAACTCAATTACTGTCAATTCAATTGAAAGAGTTCAACTTTAGAAAAAAGTAGCACACGCGATGCATATTAAAATGAAACTATAGATTTTTCGATTAAAAAAAATGTATTTTTAAAGATTAATTTTGATTTCTTTTTATATAATAAATAATTTATTTTAGAATATAAAATGGCCGGTTTAGATATAAATCCTGTATCAGAATCAACGACCCCAACGCGAAAATTAAGCGTAGCTTGGGATGGAAATTCTAACAGTCCAAGTCGTAAAGTTAGCAGAACTGGTGTTGATAATCTTGGATTTGAACACCCTAGAAGTAGAAAAGTATCAGCTACTTCTAACCATGAAGAAATTGGACCAGTGAGGAAAAAAAGTATTTTACATAATAGTAATTATGTCGTCGATACATTACCGGGTAAATTTTAATTGTTTTGTGTACACTTTATTGTTATTAACTAACACTAGCACTATCACTAGAACTAATACTAAACCTAGTACTAAAAACATTCCGGTTTAGCCGTACGTCTTTCAAAACGGCTAAACCGTAATGTTTCTAGTACTAGGTCTAGTGTTAGTTCTAGTTTTAGGTCAAACTTAACGATAATGAGATTTTTATTTTCTTTGAAACTAATTGCAAAATTAAAATTTCCAAAATAAACAACCAAATTGTTTAAGAAGTAATCAGCAAATATTGGTACAAATCCACTCGAATATAACAACAAGTAATAAGTACTTGTAATGGTAACAAGGCAATGGGTGTTTATCAAAAAACCTACATAATTAAATTGTTTGTTAACAAATTTACTAGTTATTAAGCTTCTTTTTCGGAATGTGCATTTACTTTTTGCTTTACTCAAAGCTTATTAATTAAAAATTAATGGAAAAATATACTTTTTTAGATACACCAAAAACAAATGGAGACGCTAGAGTTAAGAAAATGTCCACAACGGAATCAGTAGTCTCGAAAACACGGTTTTCAGATGTAGTTGAAGATGATAGGTATGTATATAAGAATATATTTTTTTCAATTTCTCAAGTTAATATTTGTGAATGTACGCTGTCTGGTATCACTGATTGAATTATCTCTTTGACATAAGATCTGATAAGTTTAGCACTTAAAAACTTCTCCTTCAACGTTGAATATCCTCATCTGCATTTCTCCACATCAAAAGTATATCATCAAACCACTTTCAGGTTGATATAATGTTGATCCGTAATTGAGCTGCAAGCGATATCTCTCTCACAAAAAAAATGTAATCTGATTGATTTCGATTGCAATATGCAAAAAGTACAAAACATTACAATAAAAATTTTTAGATTATATCAGAACTGATAGACGATAACATCTAGAGTTTATTCGAACATTATCTCTTAAGTATCGAGATTTATCTCGTAAATATTTTTTATTGCAAATTCTTCTTCAAATATTTGGAAAATACTATTGATAATACGTAATCAAATGATTCTAAGATAATTTATTTTATTAAAACCAATTAAATCGAACGCAATTTTTTTTTACCATTTTTTTTAGATAACACATCAATTGTTAAATAGATTACATATTTATCCAGCCATATTGGCGCTGACCAAACACATTCTTTATCGTTATTTATAATGGATAAGAATTGTTGCAGCTACTGATTTTTTATGCTTTTGAAAAGTTACTGAAATCAAAACATATTTTTATAAATCCGTGATAATTGTGTCATGGATTTGATCACATGAACATATTATATTTACGTCAACAAGTTGAAGTGCCAATCGATACAATCATTTCGTCTCAATTAGTAGCTATTCGACATTGAAAAATCGAACGAATTGTTCAACAATAAATAAATTAATATAAATCTTTAATCGTAAAATAATTGAGTTATTATTTCTTTTATTTTTAGATCTTGGTGGTATACATTTTGTTTAAAATGTCGAACGAAAGAAAACCTTCCCTCATGGCAACCCCCTTTATGGTCGAAAATTTGCCCTTATCCTTTCTGTTTAACTTATCGGCAGTTTTCGAGAATTATAGCTTTAGGTTTAATAGGAGTGTTGCTATGGGGAGTAGTTTACACGGTTTTAGGGGAAACCGCCGCCCCGGGTGGTCATCTTTTCCAGTTGATTCTACTTACAATCTGCGCTCATTTCGGGGGATTTCTAATAAACCTTACCACACTCCCACCGTTAATAGGAATGCTTTTCACCGGATTAATCTTCCAAAACGTCGGATTTGTCAACATAGATGAATCGTTTAGTGAAGTTACAGCTGAATTAAGGTAAACACAAAATCAATTCATCACAAATACTAACTTATTTTTATTTTAGAAAAATCGCCTTGGTTATAATTTTAATAAGAGCCGGTTTAGATTTAGACCCAAATGCGTTAAAACGATTAAAATTTACAACAATTCGATTGGGTTTAGTACCATGGGGTGTTGAAGCCGTTGTGATAATGTTGACGACTCATTTCTTTCTGGATTTACCTTGGATGTGGTCTTTACTTCTTGGGTTTATAGTAGCTGCTGTATCACCAGCTGTTGTAGTCTCATGTCTCTTTCGATTAAGGGCGAAAGGATATGGTGTAGCAAAAGGAATACCAACTCTAATCATAGCCGTCGCAAGTATTGACGATGCCGTTAGTGTCGCTTTCTTTGGAATAATCAAGAGTATCATGTTCTCTGGAGATTCATTAACGTCGCAAATTATTCAGGGGCCCATTTCGATCGTTGGTGGAATCGCATTTGGAGTTTTATGGGGAATTATATCAAATTATGCCCCCGAAAGATTCGATCCTTTCGTTGTACCACTTCGGATATTAATGCTTCTCGTCGGTGGGCTTATTTCCGTCTTTGGAAGTGAGTTAATTGGGTATGGTGGAGCTGGACCTTTAGCTTGTGTGGGCGCCGCTTTCGTTAGTTTGGTTTGTTGGTCAAAGACAGGGTGGGAAGTTGAAGACAACCCGGCTGCAACCGCTTTTGAAATATTTTGGATGATTTTTGAACCAATTTTATTCGGAATAACAGGCGCTAATATAAAATTAAACGAATTAGATCCGCACATTGTTAGTATTGGTATTGGTTGTCTTATAGGAGGTGTAATCATAAGAATATTATTTACCGTTTTATTGGGAATTGGATGTCGATTAAACTTAAAAGAAAAAATATTCGTCGCTTTATCGTGGATGTCTAAAGCTACAGTTCAGGTAATTTTATTTAAACAAAATTAAAAGCAGGTAAAAACTATATATATTTTTGTTGTAGGCTGCTTTAGCTCCTGTTGCCTTAGGAATCGTCGGGGATGAATCCCCAGATAAAACTCATGCCGAAATTGTTTTAATGATCTGCATCCTATCGATTATTCTAACAGCTCCAACTGGTGCTGTTTTAATTACATTATCTGGACCTCGTTTGCTGACAAAAACGAAAATACCAGCTCCAATTCCGGAAGGTTGGAGAAGAAGTCATAGACCATCTATAAGAGATATCAGCATCATCGATGAAGAAGAAGAAAGAGATAAAGAGGAAGATGTGGAAACGCCAAATAGTCTAGGAAGTATTGTTATTAATAAAGAAAGTCTGTAAATTTATGTTCTTTGTAGTGTAAGTGTTGTGATGTAATACATTTTAGAAATGTTTCAAATCAAATATGTCATAAGTTGTAACTAAAAGTAATTATTGTATTGTACATAGTATTTATAAGAATTTAATTCATTTTTAAGCTGTAAGAAATGTGCTCAAATGGATGCATTTGATGTTTTGTTGGAGTATTTTATAAAAAATGTTAAGTACAAGGAAATAAATGTAAATTGCAATATTTAATATTTATTTGTTTCTGTATTATTAAATTAAATTAGACAATTTTGAAGTAAATTAAAAACAATAAGCTACTTAATATAAGCAACGAAATTTATTTTCACCGAAAGTATAGGCAACCCAAATAACTATCCAAATATTAAAATTCTTAATTACATTTTACCATTCAAAAAGTTAATAAATTACTATGTATTATCTTAAATTAAATAATTTAAGCTTTAATTTGATATATAAATCATTACTTCAATTTCATAAGTAAAGTCTGAACGATTTTTTGAATTTCATCAATTTTTGTGTATAATGGGATAGAGTTTGTGTTTCTTTAAAATATCTCAAAATTTCATTCATTCAATATATAAATTATTATATATTATCTTAAAATTGATAGTTTTAACTTTAATTTGGTACATAAATCATTACTGAAATTTCATAAAGTATGAACGATTTTTTGAATTTCAACAATTTTTGTATGTAATTGGTTAGAGTTTGCGATTCTTTTAAATATCTCAAAATTTCATTCATCCAATATATAAATTATTATATATTATCTTATAATTGATAGTTCTAGCTTCAATTTGGTATATAAATCATTACTAAAATTTCATAAATAAAGTCAGAACAATTTTTTGAATTTCATCAATTTTTATATCTAATTGGTTAGAGTTTGCGATTTTTTTTAAATATCTCAAAATTTCATTTATCCAATATATAAATTGTTATATATCATCTTAAAATTGATAGTTTTAGCTTTAATTTGGTGTATAAGTCATTACTTAATTATTATTTATTAAGACAGAACCAATTTTTGAATCTCGCGCAATAATATGGAATAATATACTTACTTGTTATAGTGGTAACAACATAAAAAGATAGTATCAATAAAATTGTGTATTTTAAATGAAATAATGAATCCAACTTGATATATAGTATTTATTTAAAAAATCGCACATATCAAATGTGCATATATCTTATATACTCTTACATATTCAAGTATTTCCTAAACAATGTAAACTAATCGGATAGGCAAGGCATTTCTTAAAAATATATATATTCGTTATATACGTACGAAACATCTTGTATAATAATTTACTTTAAACGATTGAACGAAACGGAACAAGGGGAAAAGGGGAATACTCGAAATCGAAATGAAGGGTACGGAGTTCCTGTCGGCTAGTCGTCTGTATCGGTTTATTTTTTCAATTTGTTATCGGGAAAAATCATCTCACCTACGTATAGAATTTGTATTTTCAATAGCTATTTACACGTATCAAATCGGAGATTTTTTTTTCGTTTTATCATTTGCTCTATCGTAATAGGTTTATATACTTTGAAAAATTCAATAAACTATTCATTCAATGTTAACATTATTTATGAAAAAGTTACGTCATTTTTTTTGCATGTTCGTTTTTACGCAATAAATCTCGAAAGTTGTCTGTTCATCGCGTTTTGGGACAAAACTGAAACGTTTGTACATTAGAAATCCCGACTAATTGGAAAAAATATAATTTTTTTTCAACTATAACTATACAAACAGTTTGTGGAAATTGGTCAGTGATAATGCCCGGCGTAGGCGGGATCGTATGTTCTCTAAGTAAATTTTATTATCTACATTTAAAAACTAATGAGGTACTTAGGTAACATCCGAAAACATTCCAACCGTTTACTTAATTAATTAAGTTCGTTTTTTTTTCTTCTAAATCCAGCCTTGTGATCACGTTTCAAATAATTTAATACAAAGTTTTTCGTATCGAACATTTCAGGCACGTGTCCGAAAAAAACGTTTTGGTTTATACTAATCTGGTTTCTCACAAATCAACCTAAAAGCGAAATCAATGATTGTCACTTGTATATTTTTAAATTCGAACCTACAAGGCTACTTCGCGATTTTGTAGATAATAAAAATTACTCCCACACTAACAATGATAATAAATAAGAATCATGTTTTTCTTTTTTTACGGCAATCAGCTAATCCTTCTTAAAGCTTCTCTTCTCCTATTTTTTTTTTTTTTTAATTTTTTATATCGTCTTTATGCACTTTATGAATTCTAAGATTTAAAACGTTTCTAACAGCAGTGCAAAGTTTTTATAACTTACTAACTCTTTTATCTAGGATCAGTCAATGCATGACAGTAAATGTACAGGTAATATCACGTTGTGAGAATAGTTTAAAATTAATCCTAATTCGTAACAAAAAGTATGTTTAGACTAAGAGGATAACCGACGATTTAGATTTTTTCTCAGTTCGTTTCCTTTTATTTCCTTTACATAATTAGTACCGGATCGATTTTATTAATTAAAAATTAATTTTGAAACAAGAAAAGAATTAATTATGGCATTAATTTTTGCGTATCAGAGAATACTTGTAATAGATCTTTCTTCAATCGGAGTAAAGAAAGATAAAACATCGAACTGAACATTGAATACGAGACTACGTTAAAGCTTGGATAATTCTACAATCCTTTCGATAGATTCATTTAAAAATTGAGCTATTACTCAAGTATGGCACCAAAATGGTCAATGTATATAATATTTTGTTGTTCAGAGAGTCTCTATTTAATATCATTTTGTTTACGGCGCTTTTAATCTTTATTTTTTGCATTTTTGATCACAATTACGAAACAGCCCATTGAAGTTGTGTTATCCAAACGATACGATTTACTCGTAATACGTTTGATGGCCCCGATATTCGTGATGATCCTCAAAGTCCATCTCAGAGAACCTCTCGAGCAATTCTTTCCGATAATTCCTACCCTCTTGTCGCTTCACCGAATCCAATTTCTTTTCTTCTTGGTACCTTCGATCATCGCTGGGTCCTTGTCTATCATATCTTCGTTCTTCCTCCGATCTTCTCCTATCCAACCGATCGTCCAGCCTTCGATCTTCATACCGATCTTCTCTCCTTCGATCATCTCTAAATTCTCTAGGTACCTGAGGTTTGTAATAGAGAGCAGGTGGTGGACTAAGGTCATCATGAACCTCTTCTTCAATGGGTTGTTCCGTAGAAAGCCTCCACTATATGGCGTTTAGGGCCCGTCTCGAGGACCCTCTGTGTGCTTGGTAATCATCATCTCTTCGATGGTCTCTAAGCGGCAATGTTCGTTCTAATCCCATGTTTCTGTAATCATCTCCAGCCATATGAGAACCCGCATAATCTCTATCCGTATATTCGTCATATTCTCGTTCACGTTCTAACCTTGGCCTACTTCTGGTATGTTGTGTGTGGTATGTGGACACTAAACAATAAAATATATAGGAGTAAAATTATGATTAAAATGATAATGGGGCATTTATTAAAATATATATTGTGTCCGTAAAGTCATGGTGCACTTTTAACTGGCCATATAAAAGCAACAAAATAGGATTTGCCAATTTGTTGGAGAAACTTCTTTCTGGTAGCCATCGGAAGTGACGAGGATATAGGGGTTAGAATCATAGACGTTATTCATTCTGTTACATCAGATATCCTTCAGTATAAATGAAAAAAAACTTGATTATCGTTTAGATGCGTGTAGGGCAATAAATGGAGGCCAATATGATATTATTGTGATATGAAGACCACATTTCTATCTTGCTTCGTTACTTTCCTGTGACTGGTTAAAAATGCACCATAACTTTACGGACAGACTATATATAAAAGTATAAATATAAATGCACCATTACATAGAAAAACCTCAAACAAAACTCACCGTCAACAAAATGAAAAACCAAATCAAAAGAATGAAAACTTCGTTTCACAGCACAATGCACAAAAGTATGTACTTACTCTAAAGGTAGTTCTATATATATATCAAGCAAACAAATCTGTAGAACCAGCACGCCATATCTTCCCTGGGCTTGGCGCTACTTCATCTTTTCGTTATAATATTTTGTTTGATTGATTGAATTGAAATAATAATTGAATGCAAAAAAGAGCGCAAGCGCAGCGGAGCAGAGAGAGTAAGTGCGTAGCGATGTGAAGCAAAATCGAAAACAAAAAAGAAAATTAAGAATCAGTAAAAATTCCGTGCATTGATTTACATTTTTTTTTGTACTAAAGTAATTCGCACTAATAACTCGGTGGTAACGGAGTCATCGATCCCGCAAAGTCTGAAACCATGACAGTCAGATGAAAATGTTGAGTATAATCGGAAAGAAACAACTGGTTGCAGAGAATGTTATTTATTTTACGGTTGGTTAGTGATCACATCGTTTTTAATTATGGACCCGTTTTTAATCAATTTTGATTTAATTAATACTCGCTTAATTTTTTTGTGTTTATAGACAACATTAAATCTTATTAATAGTGAACAACTTTGTGTGCAAAACAAGCTTATAAAAATTAAATTTAATAAAAATGAAATAAAGTAAAAATATTGCTCTAAAAATGAAAGTGAACACATATGCCTAAAAGAGAACAATTTAAAAAATTCGAACAACTAACGTATACGAAAAATCAATACATGCAGTACGTTTCATTTATAAGAAAGAGAGCGACTCTAGAGAATCTACAGAATCCCAACTTTGCAATCCAATATATCTAACAGCTGCGTGACTACCTCTATCTTGGCCATATCCGTATACGTCAGGGTGGGCTGCAAATATTAGTTGTGTTAGTTTTTGTTAGTTTGGAAATGAAGCGTTATGCTGATAGAAACTTATGATGATAAAATTTGTATGTTATAAATCTTGTTAATACTAAAATTATTAAGTTCGTATCTAATAAATTATTTTACCTGGTAGAGGAGGTCTTCCCTGGTCCCCACTTGGTGATGGTTGTGTAGAACCACTAATTGGTCTGGAAATATTTTGAGTTGTTTCCGGATGTGTAGACCTCCAATATTTCTACAAAAAATGTAATAAAGTTAAAACACCCCAGATTTTGCATGTACATCGCAATGATGATTCCTAGAGATTTGAAAGTTAGATTTAGAGTTTTTCCCTTGTAAGATTGATTATCTGAAAACCAGTACTTACTTCTAAAAATTCCGCTATATGCTCGCAAGCATCTTTTAGCTGATTCTCATCCAACGTAACATCGAACATCTCTGGTGGACACTGAGCTAATTTTTCCGCGGCCACCATTTGGACGTTTAAGTGTCTTGCTTGGCTTTTACCACGCGATTTAATAAGCCGTTGTAGCACTTTCGGACTGGAAATTTTGAGGTAAACTATGCACGGGGCTAAGGTGGTTTTGGCAAGTTGCGAGGGATGATTGATGGTATCACAGTCCAACACGACCAGCTGCAACGTTCTGGCCAGTTCGAATATTCTCTCGATCTCGGCTTGAACTTCCGCCATGCAGTTCGATCGAGTGTTGGACCGTTCCATGATGGCCCTCTTCGTGGGATTGTTGAGGAGCGAACGTTTAGCTAGCGAAATGTCCGCCATCACTCTCGTAATTATTATTCTAAAAATAATATTAATCTTTTAAGAAAAGGAATTACTTGTATAACGAATTTAAAATATACACATTTTATGTGTTTACTTAACCTTCGCTTTAAAGCAGTCTAATTTAGTTTTTTACTCACCGTCCTTCAAAGTTATGTTTTAGAAAATCAAATAAGGCTTTTTGCATCATGTCGGTTACTTCGTAACCTTTAAGCGATGGACCCACGAGTACAACTGGACGCATAGCAGGGACTACGTCGTAAGGAGCAGTGGTTTCTTGTTTTTTAAAGAACGGTTTTTTCTTTTCTTTGGCTGGCGGTGTTGTAAGCGATTTTCCCGTCCTCGTATTGACGACGGAATCCGATTCATCACCTACGCTCATCGCAAACGAATGTTATTACCACGAATAAAAATCTAAATAAAATTTACACAAAACCAAAAGAAATCAAAGTTTCTACGCTAATCTACCACCTAAAACGCGCTATACTAAATTTACAAAGGCATAGGTTTTTTGGGTGAGGAATGGTTTAACGGGAGCACAATCATATAAGGAAAGCGAAAAGAAAGCGACATTATTCGTTACGAATCAAGACGCAAAAAATAGGGAAAGAAACACCGTGTATTCGTGCATTCAAAAAACAAAAAAATAATAAAATTACTGCTGACATGTTTCTTTATAGTTAGAGTTTGTTAAATAAAAACAAAAATGCCAACAATAATAAATAGAAAATTAAAAATCATACAAGAAAAAAATCATCATCACCATATTGATCATAATCATCACGATGCATTTTAAAGAAAATAATGTAGACTATATAGAGAAATAAATCGCTGAATATAAAATTCAGATCAATTTTATTTTACCGGCCATTTAAAGCGGATGGATTCACACGTTCAATTCAAATCATGAACCAAATTAAGTATTTATTTATTTGCAAGTTTCGATATTTGTAATCAATGTTAGTGAAAAATGTAAAACCACCATGTTAATTTTATTTATTTTTATAATTGCAAATGTTAAACGCCTTATTAAAGTGTTTTAGGAAGAATAAAAAGTTATTGAGATTATTAAAGAAGAGTAAAAATTAATATAAATTCAAGAGGAAATTAAAGAAATTCAAGGATAGACGTGTGAATACACCTTCCGAATTAAGATAACACGTTATGTAGAGTTGTCATTCCATTACACGGGTAGTACACGTCAAGAACACCGATAAAACCGTCGCAAATGTGCTGTGGATGGGACATACCGGGCGTAGGAGGGGTGCTACCTCTGGAAACATCGTTACCAGCTGCACCAATGTTGGAGCTCGAGCTCGTTTTGCTTGAGTAGAGCTTCGACCTCGTTTGCGTTTGTTGCAGTCTCAAATTTTCCAACTTAACAGGAGAAGGAATAAAACCGACGTCGCAACCTTCTTTCACTAATCTTCCGATCCACCAGTTGTTATCGTATTTCTCCTAAAAAAATTGTATATAATACAGATTAAATTAAAATAGCACAAATATGCAATTACTTTTATATGAAGAAAGTCTCTAACATCGAATGATACGGCGTATCCATGCACTGGCGAATCATCATCAACCGAACCGTCGTAGGCAACATTGGTTCGGACAGCAAATGCTACCTGTTTTGCCTAAAAACAAAAAAAAATAACGTTTTAAAGAATGTAAACCACTAAAAATAGTGTTCGATACGTCTCGAGAAAATTGATTAGAACGCGAAGTATTTTTAGATCAAACGTTGGATTGATTGGCAACTAGCTATGAATAAATTAGATACGTGAGAGAGAATTCATGTATATATCGAACGTTATATACGGCTTTTCAAACTCGGCTTTTCCATTCGCTTGTTAATTATTCAGAGTTTTTAGAAATATCCAGCATAGTTTCAACGCGTTCATAAAATAGCCGAAAACAATTTCCGATCCTCTATCGTAATATCCTGGATGTAATATTTATTTCTACTGGCTATATCTGAAAGATTTAAAGGCTTAGGTTAGCTTTAGAAGCCAAATAAATAAAATTTCCGTTCTATGATACACAATCAAATAAAGAAAAAAATCAATACAACTTAACTTACTCTTGCTTTTTCCAACTGACTAAGTGCTTGACGTTCCTTCTCCCGTCTGAGCGTCTCCTTTTCTTCGTCGAGCGACAGATCTGAAGATGGCTGTGAGTAGTTTGAATCAGCTGAGCCCTGAAAAACATAATCTTACAACACCGAGAATTTTCCTTTAACTTCAGTGATTAGCAATAATAACCAACAATCTACGAATACTCAATGTGATGTGTTTCGTGGTTCTCGATTTCTAATGGACAGCATGAAGACATTAATAGAGAGAAAAACACCAAACAGTACATGCAAATGAAAACGCATAGCCTCATGGAATGGAGAGCGATTGAAGATGCTTTCAAAATCTGTCACACTTTGCGATCATAGTATTTCGCGATATTATATCCATGATGGCAAAGTGTTACAATAAACGAAAAATTGGTTGCTTACCAAAGACGTGTACTTTGACATAGGGTATTAACGGTGCCACTGGCAAGCATGCGACAAATATAAGCTTCAGCTGACCACATTAAATGTTGGGTTTTGAGAATTATTAAATTGAATAAAATATTTTCAGATTATAGAAAATACTTCCAACAATATGTTGAGGTCAAAAACATAAACACGTTCAAAACAATACATTTGAAGGTGTACTTTTAAAGGTTACATACACCTTCAAAGATTCGAAATAAATCGTGTGTAAGTAAATGTAAATAGGTGTCTTGTTTGTTATTTCTACGAATCGGCTATGACCTAGATAGTCACATAGATACATAATACAGATTTCTACGCTAGAGTTAATCCTGGAACGTTGAACAATAAATCATGAGATAGAATCGTACAAACAAGGATATCAGAAAGAAGTGCTGCCTTATTGGAGGTCTTTATTTCAAATATCCCTCGTATTGTGGAGAGACGAACAAAGAACCTAGATAATAAATGATTCTCTGGTTAGATATTCTTATCTAAATAGCGTACTAAGAAGAAAACATTGGAAGTTTTTGCCAGGAATTCCAAATTTCTTTTTGTCGTTTCTATGAGGGAGAAAATTTAATACATTAAAAAATTACCATAAATATTAATTTTATTGTCGAATTTTTTTTGTAAGCGTTTCTTCCGTACTACGATTTCAAAAGAATTCCAAAGTAAATAGTTTTCAGTTTATTACCGTTACTTATTTTAAGAAAATATTTTAGATTGTTATACTTATATATTAGAGAGTTGTATATAAGGAAGGGTTGGTCATGAGTAGAGTGACGTCACACTGCACACAACCGTTACATTACGTGAGACGGGGTTGTTTTCAACCGGAGATCCAAAGATTGGCAAATTCCGGCGATTTTAGCCAATGGAAACAATCTGCGGGGCGCGTTAGTGTGCGCATTGCGGAGTTTCGACCCCCATTCATCCTCTCACCTGAGTGAATAGTTTATAGTATCCCTGATTGTTGTGATTGTTGTAGCCTATCATTATGTGACATTTCACCGATCAAGTGACCGACCGCGACAGTTCACCGCACTCCGGATCCACGCGCACACTAAACGAACGATTTAACGAAAACCGAACGAACTGGTTGGGGAAATGTGGGTTACAGGTAAAATAAACTCTACTCCCTCTAAACACTCTATGCGCTAAGATTCTACGACTACGATAGAAATTTCTGCACGCGTTTCTAAAGCGGCATCCCGATTGCGGAGCTCGAACGGACACCGAATCCGTATTGCGAACCGACTTTTTCCATTGCACTGGTTTTCAGCAGGATGACTGAAATGGTAGCGCAGTGCGGTTGAAGGCCGCTAGGTGCGACACTGTCGGTGGTTGCGCCACGCGTCGCGACGTACTTGACGGCGGGGTGGGGTTCTCTTCTTTGTTGCGCACGCGTCCTTATCGATTCGTACGCTGACCAGCTGATCAACACGCGTGCATCGCCCTCGTCTTATTTCATCCCCCTCAAAAGATTGACTTCGAAACGCGCCGAGCTTTTGAATGGAACCATTCAGTTTCGAACAGAATACCAACCCCCTCAAGCAAATTTACAAATTTCTATTCTTATTTATTCGGGCTAAATCGGAATGCTTCTAGTACTATATCTAGTATTAGTTCTAATTTTAGCTCAACAATGTATCAATTTTCTTGAATCTTTATATCGTTTATAACTAAAACTAGAATCATAATTTGCACCATCATTAGAACTAACACTAGACCCAGAACTAGAAAGTTTCGGATTTAGCCCGAATGTTGCAGTCTCAATATGTTGTACCTGAATGCTGAATCTTTAAATATCTTTTTTGATCTAAAACTAGAGTTAATACTTGCACCATCATTAGAACTTACAAAATTAACAGAACTAAATGTAACTCATTCAGGTAAAGATTGTTGGGTAATGTTTTCCTTTGAAACAATCACTCAGACAAAGAATATTGGGTTCGGTAGAATTAGCTTAACGCTGTCACTAGAACATTAAGGTGGAACCATTTCAATAAATTTCAGAAACAAGATGTGTGAGAGGAAATTGCAATACAAATGGACAGGACCGTTGATGAATGCAAAAAGAAAATGGACTACCATTTAGCAGCTCTCGGGAGGAGGAGAAAATGGAAATCTGATTGCTTGCTTTGATATTTTAAATACTTCAGACTGGAATAAGAATCGCCAGTAGACACCGTAGGGTTAGAGCCAGCCTAACCTTTCTTGCGCAGGAATTGCTTTCTGAAATGTGATATCCCGTTTCGCAATTTTGCGCTCAATGGATGACATTTCAAGAAGAAGAAAAAAAATTATTATAGAATGAAAACGTCGAAAAATATGAAAATGAAAAAAAAGGATCTTTACCCCAATGAAAAAGTCGTTTTAAAAACGGCGGCTTAAAAATTGGAACGTTACAAAGAATTCAAAGATATCCAAGCCAAAGAATGACAAAGAAAAGAGGATTCACGTAAACTGAAGGAAGTACAAGAACAAATGTCTAAAGAGGAAGAAGATGAGAGAAACTATACATTTTTATAAAAACTTTCTATGATCTTCGACTTGAATGTCTTTAAAGATTACGTCTACGTTAATCTTATGTTAGGAATAACTATAGCTAACTTCGTGGAGTTAAATTTTTCAATTTTAACACCATTCGTACTTAAAGAATTCCAATTCGAAAATGTTCAAATCGCTACTTTCATGTCTTTATTAGGAGCCTAGTGAGATTGTTGTCAGATTTATCGTACCGTTATTAGCCGACAGAATTGGATGAAAAAATAAATCATCTTTTCTTTTGGGCGTTCTTTGTATGGAATTTGGAAAGATAAGTATGAGAGAAATAATAAAATAACTTTTTAGATTATCTTCTTTTCTAGTTCTTGTTTATACTCAAACTTATCAGTGGTTTTGGAAAAGGATTAGGAACCGTTTTTATAGCTTTAGTTATTCCAAGTCATGTGCCATTAGAAAAGTTACCAGCAGCTTCTGGTCTTCAATTAGCAACGAGTTGACTTTTATTTCTTGTAATGGGACCAGTTATTGGTAAGTAAAAATTAAAGTGTTGCATTATACAAAAAGTGATTCATAAAAATTTCGTGATTGTATTGATAAGATGTTTTTAAACGTTTAGTTGAGATTTTAATTACGTTTTAATGGCGACAGAAGTTTGGCGGTGGTCTGGATACTATTGGCTTAGGTGTAGATGCTGTTAACGGAAGGCTCGATACTGTTAATACAAGACCAGATACTGCTTGCTCGATGAATAGACAAGTCAAGATTGAATAGGTGGCAAAAGACAAGGTACTACCAGTACCAAGCGGCTGCTGCTCTATCCTGCGGCGTACTGATTGTGTGATGTACCTGTACACTCTTGATTCGTATCGAATACCCGTTGCACATTTAGGGACAACACACCTTTAGTGTTTAGCCGTGCGCCTCTCAAGATAGATATGAATAGATTAAGGAGTGAATACTTAAAACATTTTTTTAACAGAATTTATAGTTTAGAAAACACACCAAGGATTACACAAGTTTAGAAATACAAGCAGCTTAGAAACAAATATGATTTATGGTAAAGTACACAAATGCAAAAGTTATTGACATTGAATTCCGGGAGCTGTTTTTGCGAATCAAATCATTGCAAAATGCTGTAAATCGTGTAAAGATGGTGAATATTAAGGAAACTCAATGTTCTAAAAACAATTCTAAAACAATCAAAAATTTATGAAAACAAACGTTTATGCAGAAAAAGCTATGACTCATTCGTTCTTAGTACTGTTAAGTACACTCACATAGCCCGTAGTACGTTCGAGCTAAATTTACTACGTTCATTCATCTGCTGGCAGTGCAAGAGGACGATCCCATTTTACATTACCCTTCTGTTCCTTCCAAATGGTATATAGCTTTTATGATGACGATGTTTCTTCAAGATGTTCTTGCTTCGGTGGTGATGGTGATGAGACATTTTCTTTTATTTTTTTTGTGGGGGTGGTAAGAATTTGAGAAATCAAGTTTATTGCTCACTTTAAAAGTAGAATTCGAAAATCGTTTTTCTCAGTCGATCATTAAAACTGTGTTTATGCTATCTGATGTAAACAAATCGCGGAATAATAGGAATCGAACGAGCATAAAATTCCATTCTACACGCAAAACAACACCCAACCGGGCCGTCTCTGAATCTTGGACTGCTCCTTACATGCCAGAACTTGAATCTAAATATAAAACGGTCGCCGAGATATACGTTCAATACTTATTTTTACCAAGTATAATGAAAAGAACTGTCCCGATTACAATAGCGGTCGAAATTAAATATTCAAAATTTGTTCTTATTAAAGTGTTATAGTGCGGAGGATGTTTTTTGGGTCAAGGTTTTGCTAGTAAATTCTCGGAGGTATTTATTTTCAAGAGGGGCCGCAATAAATCTTCTGCCCTGGGTTTGCGTTTAACGCTCACATCGACTTTCGTTAAACAAACCTTCAATTGTTTTAACATTGTTATGAATATATTTCAAAATTTTTTGTGGAAACAAAAAAATCAATATATAAAAGAACATCGATATTGTTGATAACTACAATAACCGTCTCAAAAAAGATCTTTAATTTTCATAAAACCCGATAGATGTCACAAGAAGAAACGAATCGGAATCCAAAGATCAGCTTTATATCCTCACCAATAGA